GACTTATCGCAAGTCTTAATTTCCATTGAACATATTATACTAAATAATGTGCACTCACCTTAACCTTGCTTTGATTCGATCCTAATTCTTTGATTGTTCCAGAACTTGTTTAGGCTCAATATCTACATAAATATAACATTTCAAAACAATTATCAGAGGCCTAAACCTTAAACTTGATGTTAATAACTTAATCTAGTTTAATAACCAAAATTTCATTTTTTTTCTTTAGGGGGAATCGATACCCCCAGGGGGTATCTGTACCCCCTACATAATCTGGAATTTTTGCCTAGAAATCACTGTTCATGCACGAAAATTCACTATATTAACTTAAATTCTTCATGTTTCATTCTTTTTATATTCTTAACTCAAATATACATACTTAAACTAATTTCTACTCATTTATCTCATCTTAAACCTCAAAATCTTCTCCTTTTTATGAACTTCAATAATCATACCAAATATTCAACATGTTTCAAATCCAATTCTAACACTTAATATTTTTTAATTAAACTGATGGCAAGTCAAATTTAACTTCAAATTCAACTTATCAACTATATTTTAAGATTTCATTCAAGAACTCGAAATCTTTAATCTCTCCTGTACCTTTCATCTTGTTGTTTTAGAACAAATTAAGCTTTCCTTAAACTTAATTAACACCCAAAGAATCAAAACCCTTTTTGAAATTCCAGAAATTAACCATACAAATCTAACTTACCTTTGTAGCCAAAGCCACCGTAAAGAAGAGGAAAACAAGAAGAAAAAGAGAAAGAGAACTCTGGAACAAATTTTTGCCTTCCTTTCATCTTCCACGTGGGTTAATATAAACCCATCCAAATTTTTAATTAATTTTCCTTTGCAAATGACTATTTTGCCCTTTTAATTCTTTGGATAATTACTAACAACTTTAAGGAAATATCCCCAAATAAATCATTTAACTATTCAACTATTCAACTTTTATCCCCAAATTCCAAAATTTTACAATTTAATCATTAACCCATAATTTGGGATGTTACAATTATTGCCATAAATTTTTATAATACCTAATCTAATTAACCCATCAATGAATGACGAATACTAACACTTAATAAAAAAATATTTTATGGAATTAACAAGATTTTAACTTTTCTATTAATCAAAGAGAGAAATCTAAGCTAAGACCCTTAGGGAAAAAAATGAAACCAACACTTAACCACTTAGTTAAGTTAAAAATTTTGTTATGATTATACCAAAATTTATATTTAAATTTAATAAAAAATATTTAAATTGTTTCAATAAAACTAAAATAAATAAATTGTTGGAGCTAAAAAAATAATATTATATTATAATATTTTTTAAGGTAGAATGTAAATTTTGAATTATTTAAATTTAATCATCCAACTAACTTCTTACTCCTATTTTGGTCATTTAAATATTTTCACTAAACTTTTGCTCTTATTTTGTTCACTCCACCATTCAGGAATGAATATAAAGTTTTATGTTAGGAGTGATGAATTTATAAAATTTTAAGGAGAGACAAACTTGGACGACTGTCTCCCAATGAGGAACACTGTTAGGACTAGAGAGGGCATACTCCCCACCTCACCCAAAAAAAATATTTGTTAATAAATTATTAAATTTAATTACTCTAAATATTTTAAGGATTTATAAAATTTTCTTTATCAGTATAATTTTTTGATATAAAAATATATAATCTATATTGATAAAATTATTAAAATATTTAGGTTAATATATACAATTATTTAAAATGGCCCCCTCATAAGATAATGTTGAGTTTCGCTGCTGCCGTTCCCACCCACCTCTGCCAAGGTCTATTCCCACCACCGTTTAAATTCAAAAATTTATGATGACATAGATTAATTTATTATTTTTTATGATATTTTTAATTAATATTTAATTTAAAATAATTTAAAATAAAAATAAAATTACTAAACCCTACTTACAATATCAGACCCTTGCTGACCACTCAGATTATCCCAGTCCTAAACCTTCCCTGGCCACCGCCACACTATCCTGACCCTAAACCATCATCAAGTACCTCAAATCCTCACTGACCTCACCCTTATTATTTCAATCCTAAAATCCTCTCAAGTAATTTCAAATCTTAAATCTTAAACCTTAAACCCTCGTCAACTTTACCATCATAAATCCTAAAATCTTTATTGAAAAATCTTAAACCCTTAATTCTTAATTTCTAGTATATCCAAGTCCACAATCATAAATCCAAACAATCAAAGCATGACACATATAGTGGAGAGTAACATATCCAAACTAGATAACAATCAGATACAAATAGAGATTATTTGATTTGAGTTTTAATTTAATTTTTGTGACTTTTAAGTTGATTTCATGGATGTTTAAACCGAATGATTGAAACAGGAGATGGAAAACTTTCATTTGATACCGATATTGTTGCAAGTGGTGATTGGAGCATGATGACACACGACTTTGATGGTATCAATACTAGATTTGTGGAGTTTGGGTTATTGTTTTACTAAACGAACATTAGATTTGTGTTCATAAGAATGGGTGAATTTGATGGGATATTTTGAGGCTCATCGGTCTCTAACGACCATAGTTGATGGTGGCATGATCGGCTACCAACGCGATGGCGGATTTTCGGTTGATTTAGGTCGAGATAGAAAATGTGAGTAGGTAGAAAAAGAAAAACGATATTATTTTAGACCAAATTCATTTTTATGTAGGGATCCAAAACAACATGTTTAATGCAGATTATCATATCATAACACCATTAATCATTTTAAGATAGAGTAACCAAAATAAGAACCATTCAAAAAGTTAGCAGTTTAATTGAAAATTTCAAAATTTCAATAACCAAATTAAAATACTTGAATCTCTGAATCAACGACTTTTTTTGTGTGTGTGTCGATTCAATATTTGGTAGAGTATATATTGTCTTCTTTTTGAAATGAATTTTTAATGATAAATTAACTTATGAAGAGGACCCAAAAAAAAACGTATAACACCAACCTCATGAAAATTAAACAATGGAATAAGTTTTCGTACATTGACTTGTCTTCACACACACACAAGTTGAGCGTCTAAAGCTAAAACTTAAAATAATAAAAATTGGCAAATATTTTGAGAAAAATATTAAGTTGAATTCAACGCATGGATATTATTTTAATTAATATAACATTACTAGTTTATTTTCAATTACAAGTTGTCAGGCAACAACGTAGATTTAATAATTAATAATGTACAAAATGAATATAAAAATAAAAACAAAATTTTCATTAATAAAAATTAAGAAAACACAATAATATCGTTTGCAATGTATGGTAAATACACCTAATCGATGGATATTGTAACATTCTCTCTCAAATAACTTTATGTTTTGTTAGAGAGTTAAAAAAATGTATTTATTAGGTTGGTGTTGGATTCAATTAGATTTTGTGTTTTATGTATCGAACTTTATTTAATTTTTATTTTTCGTATTAATTTTAAATTTATTTTCTTCAAGTGAATAAAAACAATTAGTAATTTTAATACATTACTCTTAATTTTTATGTAACAGCTTAATTTTATTACTCAAATAACTTTATGTTTTGTTTTAAAAAAAAATATTTCCTCTACCCTATTCGTAGTAATTTAAAATATTATAAATTAGCCCTCAAACTATCAATATCATTCTATTTTGATCTTTTAATAATTTTATTGATTAAAAACTAATTTATTTTTAAAGATTTGAAAATTGATTTTTTTTTACTAATGTGCGTTAATGAATATATCAAAATAAAATGATACTAACAATTTAAGAACCGACATACAAGTTAATTATTTAGAAAGTTATTGATGTAACTCTTAAGACTTTAAAATGTAAATTAACTTTTTTACTAATAGAATTAATGATATATTGATAGAAAGATTTAAAGACAAATAATTTAAGGATTTTTTTATTAATAAAACTAGCGCTGTACTGTTAAGAAAACTTGTATAATGGGTACGGTTTTCTTTGGCTTGAGTACATTAAGAAACCAAGGTACTTACCTGCCATTAATTTTTATGGTTAAAGTACACAAATGATCCATCGATTATAGAGTATTATTTTATTGAGTCATTTGACTATTAAAAGTTATAAAATGGTTCACTAACTACAAAATGTTATTTTTGAGTTCCCTGACTATTACAAGTTACAAAATGGTCACTCGACTATTTTATTGTATTCCAAACTCGTCCTTTTTTCGTTAAAAATTGATGGTAGTTTGAGTTGAATGTTAACATGCTGACTTGGACATAATAGTCTTTTGAGACTTTAGGATCATATTATATCATGTATGAGTCAGTAGGTTAACGTCCAACTCAAACTACCACCAATTTTATAATGGAAAATGACAAGTTTGGAATATAATGAATAGTCAGTCGGGTGATCATTTTATAACTTTAAATAGTCAAAAGACTTAAAAAAAGCAACGCCTTATAGTGAATGGACTATTTTATAACTATTAATAGTTAGAGGATTCAATAAAACAAATCCTATAGTCAAGGAACCATTTATGTACTTTACCCTAATTTTATTTTATCCGCATAAAGTAATCAATGTGTTTTTGGTTTTCACACAGGTGAAGTAAGTCAATACATGGACTTGTTCTTCTCCCTTTCTATTTTATTTTGCCATTAAACTTTTGGCCTTATTAATTAAAACAATCATGCCGTGTTTAGACTTTAGAGGAGTGGAATTCCGAATCTGCATATTCTTTTATGTTTTTAAATAACTCCCGATACTTAATTAAAGTCGTGAATGAAAAATAAATATATTGTTATTAGATCTTATACTAATTATTTGGGTTTCGATTCATGAATAATTATATTAAATCTTATTGAAATAAAAATAGTTAAATGGATTAAAATTAAAAACGAAGGTCAGAGGACCAATTTATGCTGAATAATTCATATCTTGCATGGATGTAACATTCTGACAGGAATTGTTTTTAATATTTACCCACTATAATACTTTGATCGTTTCCATTTCATTGAAAAATAAAATCATCTGCTTCCCCTTTTCCCTACAAATTCTCTCTCCAATTACAGTGGTCAAAAAATGGAATCAACGGAGGGAGAATTCACGGTGACGGTGACAAAAAACGAAGTGGTGGCGGCACTGCTGCCGTTCCAAGAGCATTGGCTGCCACTCACCAACCTAGACCTGCTTCTGCCGCCGCTGGACTTCGGCGTTTTCTTCTGCTACAAGAAACCAGTCTCCGCCGGCTGCTGCATGGTTAGTGCTCTGAAGAAGGCGTTGGCGGAAGCTCTTCTCCCTTACTACGCGTTGGCCGGCGAGGTGGTCCTAAACGCCATGGGGGAGCCCGAGCTTCTGTGTAACAACCGAGGCGTGGATTTCGTGGAGGCTTATGCAGATATTGAGCTTCGAAATCTCAACTTTCATAAACCTGACCAGACCGTTCAAGGTAAACTGGTACCCAAGAAGAGACGTGGTGTGCTGTCAGTTCAGGTACGTACGCTTTTATGGAGAAATCGTTGCCCTCGTCATAAAAACACAGGCAGCGTTACTAATAGAATACCAGTATAATTACAGGACACAAACGTTAAAAATTAAATAAGATAGTAACAAATATCATATCGAGAGGATCTTGATATTAATCTATCGGAAAACAAAATCAGTATAATTCTGTGCATGAGAAATATATATTAAATTCAAGGGGAGTCAATCATGGATGTAAAGTTCTTAAAATAATACATTATGTCTGCATAAACATGAGTCATCCTTTAAATAACGTCACTTGAAATTTAGATTAATTTAAGTATAAACTACACAAAATACCTTCAAACTCTAGACATTATATGGTTTATATCACTGAACGTCTAATTTTATCAATAATAGCCGTGGATTTTTTTAATTATACTATTAGAATGTTAAATTGTTAACAGTCGGATCCAAACGATGACATTCTAGTGAGGTGTCTACGTCGACAAGTCATCAGTCACATCATCATGTCAATAATGATTTAATGGTTCAATGGTATAATTGAAACGAAAATCAAAGTTCAATGCTATAATTGATAAAATTGAAAGTTTAGAGGTATAAAAGATACAACACCTAAAGTTCAGTGATATACGATGTAGTTTATCCTTAATTTAATTGGTTTAAATCTTTTAATGATACTCGGTATCTAATTCACAATTTATATCTATAAAATTATATATTATTATTGTATCAAAGATTAATATTTGTTTAAGCAAGTCGTTAAAAACTTTCGGTTGATATTTTTCTTCTCTCCTGATTCATGAGTTTAATGTCTATTAAGAGCAAATTACCCTTCCCCTAAGTAATAATTATTCAGAAAAAAAAAATTATTCAAATATAAGAATGATTGTGAAAAATAAAAACAATTTCTAATCACGTAAGTGATAACCAAATTAAACATGTTATGTACTTATATAAATTCAATATGTTAACAATTTAAAATACTTTGATAAGTTTATCTATTCATGTTATATTCATTTTTAGTTATATTTTACTTATTTTTTACTATTTTGTGTTTAAAAATTATCACGAGTCGAATTCGTATAAGTTTATGTGTGATATTAACATCATGTATAATTGATTAATTGTCTAAGTCAAGTCTACTTAAAATATGATTCACAAACTTTACTTAAATTTATTCGTTACGCTAATATTGTAAACATTTTTATACACTATTATCTATGGATTAGGTGACATGTCCGATCCAATTAATCCATGCATAGATAAGGTTTTTTTTAAAAAAAAAATCTAAATTGGCTTAAATTTAATTTACATATGAATTTTTATTTGGTCTATATAATAGTTATAGTAATATTTAGAATATATTAAAAAATTATTATAGTTATAATATTATTTTATTACAAAATTATGTTATCAAACAAATATTGAATATAATAATAAAACATATTTCACTACAATAATATAATTTTATATATTACTAATATAAAAGTTCATATTTTATCTGTGTATAAAATATTAACAATATTACAACCCAAAGTACTTGATCTTATAGTTATTATCTAAAATTTAAATAATTTTCCCATGCCTCTGGTTGAAAATACAATATACCAAAACATCTATTAAGAAAAACAAATGCTGTAATCAGAAAAAAGAAAAACAAATATCAAAGATTAGGTAGCAAGTAGCAATAGTCTAGCCCAAGATTATTTTAACTTATTGCCCTACCATTTTACCCACGCGGACCAATTATTTTTATGTCACAACTCACAACCATCCAAACTATAAATTATAATGTCATTATTTTTAATATTTGAAGTCCCAATCAATCTAATCCAATTAAAATTACGTTACTTGTTAGAGATTCATTCATGTGAATTTTTAGTAATATAATCAAGTTCTAACTTTCGTGTCTAAGAAGGAATATCGGTTTACTCAATGATTAACACCACACGAATCAATTTACTTCGATAATTAATTTCACATAAATCAATTTATCTTAGTAGTTAAAAAAATCATTGTTATTCTTAAAGATCACGGCTTCAAGCACTGGCCGTTACAGTAGGATGATTGAGCGTTCATTATCAGATGATTGAGAGTATTTAGAGCAAATACTATTTTGTAATTATCTTAGCTTGATAAAAAAAATAATTAATAGGGTAAATTACGCATTAGTATCTAAACGATCAGTTTTGGTCCGTTTTAGTATTAAACTTTCAAAACTAAACTTTAGGTATGGTTTTGAAAAAATTGAAAGTTTAGGTACTAAAACTGATCAAAACTGATAGTTGAGATACTAGATACGTAATTTACCCTAATTAATATATAGTTTACTCTGTACCTAATTTATTGGTTGATAGTATCAAATGTTTATCCAATACTGAAGCTTGATAATTTTTTTACTTTTTTATAATAAAAAAGTATGCATGTATAAAAATTGATTTACTTTTGATGTTTGCAGGCAACAGAACTTAGATGTGGTGATGTAGTGGTTGGATGCTCATTTGATCATCGAGTATGTGATGCATACACAGCCAACATGTTCCTTGTGTCATGGGCTGAACTGGCTCGGTCGAGACCGGTTTCAATGGTGCCAAGCTTTCGTCGATCGTCGTTGAATCCGAGACGACCAGGGTGCATCGACCCTTCCTTGGACGACATGTATGTGTTGATACCCTCCTTGCCTCCTCCTGAAGAAAACAATGAACCTACTGATCATCTCGTAAGTCGAATCTATTATATCAATGCCGAACAACTTAATGAGCTTCAGTCACTTGCCTCCTCCGATGGCGACAAAAGGACTAAACTCGAGTCATTTAGTGCATTTTTGTGGAAGATGTTGGCAACTTACACTGCCGATGAAGATCGAAACAAGATATCAAAAATGGGGATCGTGGTGGATGGGAGGGCAAGGTTAGGCGAAGGAGATCAAGACAAGGCCACGGCCATGGGATGTCACTTTGGAAATGTGCTATCCATTCCGTACGGATCCCAAACGATCGGTGAACTAAGTGAAAAGCCTTTATGTTGGGCGGCAAAACAAGTTCACGAGTTTCTAAAACCCGCAACGACCAAGGAGCATTTCCTGGGACTAATCGATTGGGTCGAAGCTCACCGTCCTGAGCCTGCAATGACAAGGGTGTACAACGTTGTGAAGGATGATGGGCCGGCATTGGTGGTGTCGTCGGGGCTTCGGTTCCCGGTTTCGAAGGTGGATTTCGGATGGGGGTGTCCTGCTTTCGGGTCATACCATTTCCCGTGGGGTGGTGTTTGTGGATACGTTATGCCGATGCCTAGTAGAGTGAGAGAGGGTGATTGGGTGGTCTACATGTTGCTATTGGAAGGGCAGTTGGAGCAAATAGAAAAAGAGGCTGCCAATGTGTTTAGGCCCTTCACCTTTGATTACGTCGATCTCTAAGTTTCATGTTTTTCCAGTCTGGGTAAGAAAGAAAGAAAACATTAATTTTAATGGTGTTGCGTATACTATGTATACAAGCATAACCTCATGTGCTTGTTGTATTTTGTTATAATTTTAAGTTGGTTGATAGTTTCCTGTAAACAAGCATAATCTATTCGAATTACGGACGCTGCCATGGTTGAATGCAATGCAAACAAAGAGGATGCTGCCTTGCTTGTTGCTTCAAACTTCAAAGTGGGTAACACAAGTTTAATAACCTCACCATTGAATCCCATTGTCGCTGTGCCTCACCCTCGATAAGTGGCGCGTGCACGTTTTGTTCAAGGTGCTTAAAATCTTTTTTTTATTAATTTTTTTATTCTATTAATGATTTTTATTTTAAAATTTGAATTTTATAAACTCGACTCATGTCATATAATATTTTTTCAACCTATGTTATAAAAGAACTTAAAATGATGGCACTGGTAATGTTTTTCTTTTTGCTCGACGAGAAGATTTTATTAAAAATCGACTAAAGTCTATTCAAATTGTATGTCTCGTTAAAAACTTTTCTAGTCCCAAGGATGGATCGAGGGGCGGGGACGAGTGGGGGCAGTCGCCCTCTAAAATTTTAAAATTACTATATATTTTAGATTTTTTTTCTTTGTTTTTTTTATTGAAAATCTGTTTTCGCTCTCTGAAATTTTATAAGTTCAAGTTCGTACCTTGAAATCTTAAAAGTTCAAATTCGCCCCCTAATATAAAATCATGTATCCGTCCCTCTGGCAAGTCCTAAGATGAAGAAAAGAATACATACAACTCGGACGCAATAATACTTGCTACAAACTATAAGCTCGAAATCCAAAAAATAAAAACAACCAAACTAAACTGGTGGAAATTAGCTACCAACAATTGCAGCAAAGCTCAACTACACTGTCTAACCCACATAACAAAGACACAAAACTACACGCTTCTATTGCCATCCAACATAACATACAACAAGTTAACCTCAGCACTTGCCTACTTAATTTAGCAAGACAAACCATTGCGAAGACAGCAGTTAAGAACACCAGAAAGCTTTGAATAAGTTTATCCTTTCAGGGACAAAGAAGCAAAATTAGGATCACCTACCAGTCTGTTATATCACTACCACGCCTTAAATAAGTCATGTCTTTGTAGTCAGGTTTTAGTAAGGTGATCCACTATGACATTAAATGCTCTTGGTACATAAACAAACTACTCTCTTATAATCTTGTTTATCAATCGACCAATTTCATCAAAAAAGATTCCACCACTTCTAAGGACGTAGGGTGGATGATGAAAACAAATTTAAATATTTAATTGAGAAAAGAAATATAATTTGGTAATTTTTTATAATTTAGTAATTTTGTTCATAATCTTGTTTAACATTAGTAATGTTAAATATTTATGTGGAACAAAATCAAATTTAGACACCTAGTTGAGAAAAGAAATATAATTCAGACAATATTTTTATGTTAAACCTTTAATCCATAACGATTGGCATTCTCCATCGAAGTAGTTAGACCGCCATGATGAACATGGCGCTAAACCGACAAGGGTTCCATTGAAGAGTAAACCAGTCATAACCGGTAGAGATGGAGGCACAGCCATAGATCGAGCGTCCGTCGAAGGGAAATGTATGGTCCACTACCATCCAAAGAAACAAAAAACCAACGACATAGGTTGATTAGAGATGGAGTAGTAAACCAGGCCACCACCATAATCGTTGTCGTCGATCCTAAGAAAAGGAGGCCACACAAACACTAGAAATAAACAGTAAAAAGATGACAAGAAAAGTAAAAAATGAAAGCGACTCCACCAGCAAATAGTACATAGATTCTTCAAAATCCTCGCAAAAGAATAAGAAACATGGGATTTCTCTGAATTTGTGCCATAAAAACTCTTCATCCAGTCGACAAATCGTTTTCCACTGGCCAATAATTTATGGCTTCATCTACACCAGTCACTAATTAGTGATGTTAGAGGACTCTACCATCGAGTTATGTCAGTTCGTATGTCTACTCAAACGCATTTATCATCTTTTAAAGGTCGAAATTTAAGGTTGCACGCAAAACTTTACAATAGAAGCTGACGTGAAAAACGCCTGGATTTTATATTTAAATTTTTATTATTTTTTGGTTAATATTGATTAGGGGAAACATTACTAATGCTTTCATTATAAAATCAAGCTCCGCTTCTCATGCAAACCCTTAATTAATCATTTTGTCATATTCTCTCTCACCAAGAAACAAAAAACACCCAGAGAGAACAGGTAGGTAGACATGGATGCAAAAGCAGATTTCAAGGTGACAGTGAGCAAGGAGGAAACTGTGGCGGCGATGTTACCATTGCAAGAACACTGGCTACCATTCTCTAATCTTGACTTGCTTCTCCCTTCCGTCGATGTGGGAGTCTTCTTTTGTTACAGGAAACCAGAAGGGTACATCAGGAGCTTCAGTTCCATGGTCAATGTCCTCAAAACTGCCTTGGTTCAGGCTCTGGTCTCCTACTACGCATTTGCGGGTGAGGTGGTGGCTAACGCTGCTGGTGAACCAGAGCTCCTTTGCAACAATCGCGGGGTGGATTTCGTCGAAGCTTATGCTGATGTTGAGCTTCCACAACTGGATTTGCATAACCCTGATCAAACCATCCAAGGCAAACTCGTGCCTAACAAGAAACATGGAGTGCTCTCTGCCCAGGTACACTAAAATCGTGAATAATAATAAATCAATTCATATTCATTTTTTCAAAGCCTTAATTAGGGACAATTTAAAAAATAAATAGATAAATAAAATTAAAAGAAATGAAATAATTCAAAAATTATTTAAAAATTATGACAACTTATAAAGAACACTCTCAACCATTTGATATTGAAAACTCACACTCATGATATTATTGGTGCTCAAACAATTCTTTTACCACAGAGGTCGTTTCATTCCTACTAAAATCTTTGGGAGGAATTATTTTTAGGTATGTTGTAATAAGTTTTTTAAATGAGTCATAGCTATAAGTTAATGATACTATTGAGTCAACGAAAGTTATAGTTGTCTTTGGTTTGGTTCTTATTTAAGATGATGACTTTATGTTATACAAATCAGAAGGGGAAAATATTACAAGTAATAAAATAAAAAATATTTAAAAATTATCTAAAAATAAATATGTGTATTTATTGTTGCGGAATACAACAATCGGATAGAGCAAAATCGCAACTAATAATTTAAGAAAATAAAAATGAAGATAAAGAAGACACAAATTTTACGTGAAAACCCCCTAAATAATATAGGATAAAACCCACGGGCAACGGTAGAAGAATTTCACTATGAGAAAATAGGAATTACGACTTCTCTCGATCTAACAAGGAGAAAACAATAACAATTATCTCTTGATAAAAAGGATAAAACAACTCTCAATAAAAATCTCTAAATTCTCTAGTATTGGGAGAAAGCTAGAATGATTTAGGATGGTTTTGAAGCTAAATGAGTTAGGGTATTTATAGTTGAAGCTTAAGGTTTAATCTTGTAAATATCCTAAAGTGTAGGGACTAATTTAGTAATTTTACCATGCCATAAAATTCAACAATTTTTTGCCAACTTGCTACCAATTGCACCGAAAGTTTGGCACATCCACCGAAAGTTTTGTTTGACTTTTCAACAATCTCCCACTTGAAGATTTGATTGGAACAATCATATCTTCACATCATTCTTTCTACCTTGTACCTTCATGTTGCTTACGTTTCTGACGGGCCACAAGAGGATTGACACCGAGTAAATGTATCAACATTTACCGCATTCGTCATGAAATCTGTTATGTTATCTTTGGTATGAATTTTCTGCATATCTATTGTCCCTTCTTCCACCTTTTCACGAATGAAATGGTACTAAACTCGTATGTGCTTTGTCCTTGAATGAAATGTTGTATTCCTTACTAGATGCAAGACGCTTTAATTATCACAAAACAGAGAGACATACTCTTGATTGTGCCCAAGCTCCTCCAATAGCATCTTCAACCAAATTGCTTCTTTACTGGATTGTGTAACTGCTACATATTCTGCTTCTGTTGTTAACATAGCCACAACTGACTGCAATTTTTAAACCCAACTTACAGCTCCACCAGCAACTTTGAACACATATCCTGTTGTAGATTTGCTTTTAACCAAATCCCCTGCATAGTCAGAATCGACATACCCATTGATAAGTAAGTTTGATCCTCCATAATATAATGCAACATTTGAGGTCCATTTGATGTATCTCAGGATCCTCTTTACTGTATTCCAATGCTCTTTGCCTGGATTTGTCATGTACCGACTAACCACTCCCACTGCTTGTGCAATGTCTGGTCTTGTGCATATCATAACGAATATTAAACTTCCCAATGTCGATGCATACAGTACTCGATACATCTCCATCCTCTATTTTTCACTGTTAGGACTCATACTGGAGGATGATTTGAAGTTAATAGGAAGAGGGGTAAAAATTGGCTTACAATCTTGCATGTTGAATCGTGACAAGATCTTCTTCAAGTAATTCTTTTGTGAAAGCCAAATCTTCCTATTACTTCTGTCTCGGTGAATTTGCATCCCTAGAATTTTGTTTGTTGATCCCAAGTCATTCATTTCAAATTCCCTAGCCAGTTGTGCCTTCAATTCTTCAATATGATCATTGTTGGGTCCTGCAACCAACATGTCATCCACATATAACAGTAATATAACAAAATCGTTATCACCAAACCTCTTGAAATAAGCATAAGGGTCTGCATTAAGTCTGTTGTATCTAAGACACATAATGAAGGAATCAAATCTCTTATACAAACACCTCGGCGCCTGCTTTAGACAGTACAGAGATTTGTTCAACCTGCAAACCAAGTTCTTGTTTTCTTTTTTTCAAAGCCTTCAAACTGTAGCATATAAATATCTTCTTCAAGATCTCCATGAAGAAAAGTTGTTTTAACATCTAGTTGCTCTAGATGTAAGTTCAATGTAGCACACATTGCCAAGACTACTTGAACTGTTATTAGTAGAACCACAGGAGAAAAGATTTCATTGAAATTAATACATTCTTTTTGAGCATATCCTTTGACCACCAGTCTTGCACGATACCTCTCCCCTTGATCTTCACAATTTCGCTTGATTTTGAAGATCCATTTGTTACCAATTGGCTTATTTCCTTGTGGTAGTAACACAAGGTCTCATGTATTATTTTTATGAAGGGTTTCAATTTCTTCTTGCATAACCACCATCCATAGTGAAACATCTGAGTTGTTTATTGCCTCCTGGTATGTTTATGGCTCACTGTCCTCTGTTAAAAGGTAGTATGCAATATTTCCTTCTATAACATAATCTGAGTGCCAATTGGGACGTCTTCTCACATGATCTGATTGACTAGTTGTTGGAGATTCAAAACTCTCTGGTTCTTGTTCATCATGTGCTGGTTCTGCTTCAGAAGAATCTCCTTGTTCAAGCTCCTTTTCCACATGTATCTATGTAGTTTCTGACTTTTCAGCGCTATCATCGTATTCTTTTCTTTGTAGTTTATCTTCTACAAATATAACGTCCCTGCTGATGATCACTTTGCAAGCTGTAGGATCCCACAAGTGATACCCCTTTACACCATCAGCATACCCCAAGAATTTGCATTTCCTGGATTTTGGATCCAACTTTGAAATTTCTTGGGAGTTGTACATCATGTACACAATACTTCCAAATACATGGAGGTTTTAATAATCAGCTAGTTTACCAGTCCATATCTCTATTGGTGTCTTAAGCTCTATTGCAGTTGATGGAGCTTAATTCACCAAATAAGAGGCGATATTGACTGCTTCTACCCAAAATGATTTTTCTAGGCCTGCAGCCCTTAACATTGCTCTTGTTCTTTCTAACAAGGTTCTGTTCATCGCTCTGCCACTCCATTTTGTTGAGGAGTGTTCGCCACTATGAACTATTTTTTGATGTCTTCTTTCTTGAAAAAGTAATCAAATTCTTCACTTGTGTATTCTCCTCCATTATCTATTCTGAAACATTTGATCTTATTTACAGAATCAAGTTCCACCCGCGCTTTGAAGTTTTGAAAGTTGAAAACACGTATGACTTATTCTTAATAGGTTACACCTAACATCTCTCGGAGTAGTCATCAATAAATGAGACAAATTATTTTGCTCCGCCTAGGGATGTAACTGGTGCTTGACATACGTCAAAATGATCCAATTCTAGAACACTTTTGCCTCTAGAATTTGACGTGTTAAATTTCAATCGGTGATGCTTATTTGTTATGCAATGCTCACACAAAGTAAGTGATCCCTTTGTTAAGTCTGGAAGTAACTTTTGCTCCACAAGGACTTTCATTCCTTGTTCTGACATGTGTCCAAGTTTCTGATGCCATAGCATTGCAGAATCTGAACTACATGAGGCGACAAAGGCTTTTGCTTCTAGCAAAGTCTCTCCCTTCAGCATGTACAAGTTTGTTGTTATCTTTTCGCCTTTCATCACCACAAGCACTCCACAAAACACCTTCATGATTCCTTTTCGTGTTTCAATCTTGCTTGTATTATTATCCAACAATTCATACGCACATCCCGAACAACTTTAATTGTTCCATAATACATCTTCAATTTGATTGTTCCCGCGCGAACGATCTCTAAGGCATGATCATTACAACTATACATAGATCCTTCTAAGATAGGTTCATAATGATGGAACCATTCTCTTCTTGAGGTCATGTGATATGTTGCTCCCGAATCAATGAGCAAAATATCTACAAATCTTTTTCTACCTTCCACTGTGGTTGACGCTTCACAACATAGAGCATCTCCATCATCTGAAGTGTTTGCGGTATTGTCTTGTGGATTAGAGTTTTTACCTAGACTCCAATAATCATTCTTCAAGTGACTATTCTTTCTACAGTTGTAGCATTTTAAATTCTTTTTGCGTCTCGACTTTGATCTACCATGTTTGTGACTGTTGTTTTGGCCACGTTCTGTTGATCTTCCTCTCATCGTTGTCAACGCTTTTACTTGTTGCAGATTTACTTGTCTGTCTTCCTTGTTCTTGTGCCGATTTTCTTCTTGTAGAACAACAGCTGCAACGTCATCGAAGACTAGACTGGTGACATTATTGTTTGTCAAGTTGATGATGAGTTTATCATACGAATCATGCAGATTTTGAAGTAGAAGTTCATCATGTTCTTGTTCTCCTATTGTACAGCTTAAGGATGTAAGCTAAGAAAATAAAGTGTTCAGTGTGTTTAAGTGCCCCGTCACTGAAGTGGATTCTGGCATCCGTAAAGTGTACAATTTTCTCTTAAGAAAAATTTTATTGTGCAACGATGTGTTCTCGTACAATTTGGTGAGATGATCATATATCTCCTTAGCTGTCTTCTTCTCCTCAACTGTCTTTTTCTCCTCAATACTTGACAATACTTTATCTTCTAATGTTAATGCTAGATGAAAGTTTGCCATAGCATTCCCATCTATCTCGTTCCATTTGTTGTCATCTGTGAAATCTACTGCCCTTTCACTGATAGCTGCTAGACAACCGTCTTTCCTTAGGATGACCTTCATCTTCAATTTTCACAATGAGAAATTTCTCCCTTTGAACTTTTCAATATCAAATTTCGTTGTCATAGCTTCTATTACGGATAGCTCCCACTATTTCACTACCGTGAATAGTTCTCTAGAACCTTCAAAGAATGGGTAATACCTTCTTACTTTCTTATGTTGGAGGATTCACCTTTTGGTGGCAACCACAAAGAAAATAAGTAGATATTACACACTCAAATCTGGCTTTGATACCAATTGTTGCGGAATACGACTATCAGATAGAGCAAAATCGCAACTCATAATTTGAGAAAATAAATTTGAAGATAAAGAATACACAAATTTTACGTGAAAACCCCCATAAATAATATAGGGTAAAAACCACAGGCAACAATAGAAGAATCTCACTATGATAAAATAAGAATTACAACTTCTCTAAATCTAACAAGGATAAAACAATAACAATTATCTCTTGATAAAAAGGAGAAAACTCTCTAAATTCTCTAGTATTGGGAGAAAGCTAGAATGATTTGGGATGATTTTGAAGCTAAATGAGTTAGGGTACTTATAGTTGAAGCTTAAAGACTAATATTATAAATACCTTAAAGTGAAGGGACTAATTTAACAATTTTATCATGTCATAAAATTCAACAATTTGTTGCCAACTTGCTGCCAATTGCACCGAAAGTTTGGCACCTCCACCGAAAGTTTTGTTTTACTTTTCAACATTTATATGTCATAGGCAAAAGTTAACACGAATTATGTTGAAGACGACGATAATGTGCATCAGTGCATGTGTAGACCTCAATCACAAAATATAAAGATCATATTTACACTCATAAAAATAATATTCAAATTAACAAGGTAGAATTTGATAAATTCCTCTATTATTATCCTTTATCATATGTCCAACCTATATTCAATTACTATATGTAAATTTTCACACGTAATTAATTTATTTATATTCTAATAATAACAATAATGCAACTTCTCAAAAAAATTATTATAGTAAATGACGGTTTTATACGCTTAAAAATAATGCAATCACTTTGACTCATTCAAAATAAAATTATTATAGTAAATGACGACTTTATAAGAATTATTTATTTAACAATTATATATCTTCTTAAATAAATTTTAAATACACTTGATTTCCTAAAAAAATATTGTTTTACATTATATCCCTAATTAAACCTTTTTCAAATTCAAACGCTGAATTATAACCAAAAGATCCAGAAAGTTCCATGAATATCTTTTTCCGAACAAAATTCTTCTGCCTATATTGTGTCTCTTTAGGTACTCCGCCTCTAATTGTATTGAAGCGTGGAATAATGAATTAAAAATAAATTAACAATAATTTGACTTTTATCTACGTTCTCCCCTTCCATTTGCATTCATATTCCAACATCCTCACTCTCACTGTGTTAAGAGAAATTTTCTCTCTCTTATGCGTCCTCGTTTCTTCTTTCCCATCTCTTTGCTCCATCATCAATTCACAATCATCTCGTGACAATTTTTCATGCTTTAGTATTTTCAGTTTCACAAATCATAGTACCAAAATTTCTCAAATAATTTATTCATTAATATTTACTTCGCCCATCACTTTCTCGTCCTTCCTCATCTCCAAATCCTCCATTTTTCTACTCTTAAACCAACCAAATATATATGTATGTATGTATATATATATATATATATATTCCTTTATCAACCTATGGAGTGAGTGGTTGACAAATATGATACGAGGTTGACATATTCCTTTGCAGCCTGCCTTTGACAACACGAAGTGAAGGATTTTAAACCAAGAAAACAAATCTATTAACACTACATACATACAAACGTACATGTCCTCACGTCATACTTAGTACGATGAACAAAAGGAATGTAGCTTTTAACTGTTAAACTGAAATATATTACAGGCAACAGAGCTTAGATGCGGTGGAATAGTGGTGGCCTGCACATTTGACCACCGTATAGCTGATGCCTACTCAGCCAACATGTTTCTTGTATCATGGGCTCAATTGGCTCGATCCAACTCCATCTCTTTGGTACCGTCCTTTCGCAGGTCTCTGATGAACCCAAGGCGTCCAGGGTGCATCGACTCCTCTCTGGATCAAATGTATGTTCCCATATCCTCATTACAACCCCCTAAACATCACCTTCATCAACCCACTGATCATCTCATCAGTCGTATATATTATATTCCTTCCGAGCAACTCAATGAGCTTCAATCACTAGCCTGCTCTAATGGTTACAAAAGGACCAAGCTCGAGTCTTTCAGTGCGTTTCTATGGAAAATGGTAGCACTGCGTGCTGCCAAAGATGGGTTCAAGTTTACCAAGATGGGGATTGTTGTGGATGGAAGGGTCAGATTAGGTGAAGGAGACGAACAGAAAGCGAGTCTAATGTGTTCTTATTTCGGAAATGTTATTTCCATTCCTTTTGGGAGCCAAGGAGTAAACGAACTGATCGAAAAACCGTTGTGGTGGGTGGCTAGTCAGGTTCATGATTTCCTGGAACAAGCATTGACAAAGGAACACTTCCTAGGCATGATTGACTGGGTTGAAGCTCACCGTCCAGAGCCAGCGCTGGCTAAGATGTACATAAATGGCAGCGAAGAGGGACCGGCTTTTGTAGTATCATCGGGGCAACGTTTCCCGGTTTTGAAAGTGGATTTCGGATGGGATCGTCCTGTTTTCGGGTCATACCATTTCCCATGGGGAGGGGATTCCGGATATGTAATGCCGATGCCAAGTCCTTGTAGAGAAGGAGATTGGGTGGTTTATATGCACCTTTCCAAAAGGCAATTGGAGCTGATAGAAGCCGAAGCTGGCAATGCGTTGAGGCCCCTCACTTTTGATCATCTTCAAGCGGTTGCTTCTGTTTAGCGTTTCGATTGCTCGTAACAAAATTGCCCTAACTTTGTATCAGAAAATGTTGTGTTTGAAGCTAGACTTGCAGTCCTACAGATTTGCAATTACGGCCAGCTAGTTTCGAAATTCTCTTGTGTGGTACCATTACAGTTTGTAACTTTCAAGTATATTTGAAAAATGCAAATTACGTGCCCATGTACCGATGGTCAATTCCAATAAATTTAGAATTTATGTCTACACAACATTTATATTACCTTATTGAATATAGGAGATGCAAATACAATTTTCAAAAAATAATATAATTGTTAATAAGAACAAAATACGAAAAAATAGAATAAGATTACATAAATAAGACCAACAGGAAGGGATGTTATTGGACCCAAGAATACAATCTAGATAAAAGTTAGACCCAAGATGCAACATCGAATTGTTAAAACAAAGTAAATACATCATAATTGTACAAACCAGACAGGCTACTCAAATTACTGGACCTCATCTTCGTCATCGAGCTCTGATCTTTTATCTAAAAATAGCCCCCGAAGACGGTATTTATTCTAACCTTGTTGGATAAAGAAAATACAATGGCCACGCAAGACGAAAATGTACACTACACAAAGGGCAAAACACCAAAACTGTAAATGAACCTCGTCTTTCTCAAGGATCTGCTAAAGATTCACTTCAACATAATTTCTGTAGCTTAGTCTGTAAGATTCGGGTTAACAAGCCAAGAGGAGATGCATAGCTAATATAGACATCATTGGATCGAAAATTTGTCGGGCAAGAATAAGTAACGGAAGCGTGAATCGAAGGGGAGAATGCCACAGTTCCGGGAACCAAGGAGGCTATGCCTCCTTTGCGATATGCATTGCTCCACAAAGGCAGCTTGATCTGGTGGCAGGTAATGAGATATCCATACTGCCAAATTGGAATCATCCACAAAACCCTTGGCAAAGCAGTGCAGTAATTTCGGAACTAATAGCTTCCCTTTGCTGCTAACCCCGACCGAAGCTCGTATGAAATCGCGTTGAGCTTCTTCAAGCTCCTCCCTAACATTATTAGCAGTGTAGATTCTTACCTGGCATTTGCGCTTTACTCGTTACAAACTCTTTAACTCACAAGAACCAAAACAAATGTGTGTGCACGCACGTGCATAAAGGGGGAACTTAAGATGGAGATTACCGCAGGTGATGAGTACATCCCGGAACTGAGTGCAAAAGTTACAAGTGGTTCATATGCATCAACTGCGGACTTGCGTTGCTCATCCGACACCTTCAGTTTGTGAAGGGCAAGAAGCAAAGCCTAAGAAGTTTAAACATTTGTTGGTTAGTGAAGTTGGAGAAGCAAGTAAAGAAAACGTGCGCAACATCACCAAAAAATCCATACGATTTGTGGTCTGTGCAACGGTGGTTTCATCTTCAGAATGGCGTATTCAATTGCAGCTGCGCTGAAGGAGTAGCCTCCAACTGTATATGCTGCCTGGCAGAGTGAAAACCTTTCATCAGAAATAACTGCATCAACCTAAAACTTAATTAAACTGATAATTATCTTGCATTTCTCCATTTTTAAGTCATCCTCTGACGTTACACCAGATACCGAGATATAGAGAATAGATATATAGAAGCTCGGAAAATCTAGATGAAATGAGATCTCTAATGAAGTTCTACGAAGGACAAGATTTGAACACCAGAGAACCGACATATATAAAGGGCTTAATCTTTATTCTTCATTTTACTTATTATAGCTTCTTTTAGGAGAAAAACTTTCTTTAATGATGATCATGCTAGCTGCAATCTGTATACTAAGAATACTTAATACAAAAAGAAATGGTACAGGAAATAATTGAAACACAGAGTGACACCAAAAAAATAGGAAAATAAGAGTCGGATTGTTCATTCAACAACCTTTTGCATCAAGGAGAAGAGCTTCAAGTCGCTTCTTGGAACTCCATATGCCAAGTAAGCCTGTTATAATGCAGATAACACAGAAAAATATTGTCAAAAACTGAACTTGTCATTCATAATTAAATCCGCAACTCTTGGGATGTAATCGTAAAAATTGAGCTTGCAAAAGAAATAAAGAAACCCACATGCATGATAAGAGCGTTATACAAGTTGATCCAGAAGGCAAGCTTCTCGTTGCAACTCAAGTGAATAGGATTCACTTTTGCCAGTTGCTCCACAAGTGTTCTGTTCTCAAAACAATTAAAAGCAAAACAGCCATACATTAGTTATACTCCATGAATGTTATTAAGATTTTCATTTTTTTTTATTTATTCATTTTTGAAAAAGAAAACATGTAGACAATCTACTCGTGCTCTAATCAATATATTCACAACTCTACCAGGTTATTACTCTATTTGGATGAATCTAGCCCCCATGAAAGTAAAACCTCTTGATTTTCAAAATCCTCATTTGATAATCATTAGCCAAGTGGGAAAAAAACAATACAAAATGTTTGACAAGTTTAATACCTGAACTTCCTTAAGGCCCCAGATGCATATTCCAGCTGCCGCTTCCCAACTGACATCCAAGATACTTTGGTTAATAAGCCATAGTTTCCAATTTCAACCCAGCTTAACTTTCCTCGTACTCTATAGGGATCAAAGGAATTCTCTGAAGCCAAAACTTCAGAGTTGCTTTGGATATCGACTTGAGGGCTTTGCACCCAAGAAGGAATCATGGAACGTTCAGATGATGACCACCATGATGAATTTGATAGATGTCCCCGAGGTGATAGGGATGAGCTGTGGCTTTTAGATGCGGATGATTTGGAAGGAACAACTGAATCCGCAAGAGATATGAATATATCTCTCATGCATCTAACCATCTCTTCTGATAGCCGGTTAGGATGATCCCATAGGCCTTTAGGTGTTATCTCTCGTGATATCTCCTCAAACTGCAGACGTTGAAGAGATTTTTCATCTTTCTTTGGAGATGTTTTCTTCCCAACATGATGCAAAAGCATGCCAACTGCATTCTTCTGTGAATCATAATCATTAAAATTTCAGTAAAAACCTTTGGCGGTTTTCAGTAGTAATCATTACTAAAAATAATATCCATATCTATTATGCTTTGTAATAGAGACAGATTATAAAAAAAAAAGATGTGAAATGGCCTTGAGCTTTTGAAGTAGGTGTGTAGGCAAATCACCAGAACTATAGCCAAATCCAATATATAGACAAAAACAAGAACACAAACAAGCAGCATATAGATTGTATGTCTACTAATAAGAAATATTGCAAAACAAATTTGCAGTGAACACCATGATATTTACGAAGTAGTTTTCAAACGTTCTCTTCAATCCTGAACTCAGAATTTGGTTAAAAATGTATATAGATGAAACACCTGAACTCAGAATTTGGTTATGAAAATGTAGATAGACAAAACACTATTGAAGTTTCCAGTTGTTGAATTTCAAATAATCTTCTTTAAATATGGAACCATTTTCTATTAAGTATGATCCACTATAGCTGTTGAAATAGTCATGAAGTTGGTATGGCCGAAGCTAGACACTTACCTCTCTTACCGACTCTGCAGAAGATGATTCACCAGTAGATTCTGACGGTTGGTCAGTAGGCTCTTGGTATGAATTATATTCTGAGGAATGATGCAATACAGCATTTGAAAGCTGCAAACACCTTGATGACGGTGAAATCTGGATAATAAAAGAAATTTTCATATGTACAACCAATGTACAAAGTAACTACACATGCAATAATTTTTGTGGTGTCACTTTCATAACATCCATTGTTATATTTATATTTAAACATAATATCGACCATTATAGAATAGAAACTGTAGGCAAAGTTCAACTAAATGAGCTATGACATTCAGCTCGTCTTCACACCATTAGAGGAAGATTCTTAAAGGAAAATATATCTTTATCATTTGAAGTACAATTAAGGATTCATAAACTACATGAATTTATTTCCATGCTTATCTCTTGATTCATATCGGATTTATTTTCCTGTATGTTTATTTGTTATCATAATGACTTACTCCTTTTTTTTTATAAGAATTGGAGGTCCCATTAAAAATAAACCCTTCATTATTGCCAGAAACCGATTCGGTTTCACGACAAAAAGCGGAAGGGGGAAAGAGTACCTCAAGTTTTATTGATAGATAGGGTAAAAGAGATGACTTACTCCTGTCGGTTTATTATAAGTACTATAAGATTAAATTCATCACAATTCACAACTAACCTTAACAAAGATATTTTAACAGGCTACAAACAACTACAACCTTAATCATTGGTTTCAACAATGTTATCAAACATTGTAGTTATAATGAAGGATTTTTTAAGTTTTTCATAGTATGACACTAGTCAGCAGCAATTCGGTAATAGAGGGAGATATACCGATGGAGAAACTGAATGCCTCAATCGATATTCAGCAAGCCTCCGTTCATTTCTTTCTTGACTAAGTTGGAAATGCAAAGAGAACATCTCTTGTTCAAGTTTTGAGATGGTACCCTCTAATACCGCGATATGGAACAGAAGCTCCTGAGCCTGTAAGAGAATACGAACAATGACTCAGCTTGAGCTTGCAATGTGTGAAATGGGATATTGGCTTTAACAATAACTTCAACACCAATAAAATCATCCACACAAATGCTACATGCTATATGTGTGGATAAGGATATGAACAACTGGGTAAGGTAATCTTAACTAATAAGAACAAGAGGTTGAAACACCTATTTGTTTATCAAGGAAGTAGAGAACAAAAGTTTGTCGTTGATGGCAAAAAACAACGCTTAAGATGTTTTCCAACCTCGTATAAAATATTGCTTTGAACTTCCACAAAATTTTTGGCTGACAAACAATCACCATGAAGTATGAAAAAGATGGCAGCGATGTACAGCTAGAAGTAGAACATCTAGACAAGACCAAAAGGTCAGATAACCAACACTAAGCAAAGATTAAATATAACTGACATACATTGTGCGGAAGGCACGAAGGACTTGACAATTCTGAAGCATTTTTCTCTATAGCACTTTCCAGAACAGAATGCAAGTCCATCTCTTCTTGCAGCTTTTGTTGCAATTTATGTACCTGTCAAAATTTTAAGAAGATAGTGACCAGAATCGAATATACATTTAAGGAGCCATTAAGGAACTAAAGTAAATACATTTTCCCTAACAATCAGCATATTTATAATCAAAAGCAACTGAAAATATAAGACTACTCTTAGAAGAAGGCCATCAAAAACCAGAAATACACCTTAGGGGCACTGCGAGTAACTTTCCATGCTCAGTATCAAAGTTAACACAGATTAATTCATTTCCTACTAAAAGTAACAAATTTCTTCAAAGACAATTGTAAATGCAACCACACAACAACTTTAAGCTGTCTTAAATAACTGGTATAATGCAAAATGTTACCACAGTTAAGAGAGGCTTACATCCTGCTCAAGCTGGAACCTATAAGGATAAAAATCGCTGCTTTTAGAACATGATTCAGCACTTCCAGTCTCTTCATTATAACTCGTTTCCTGAACAAATAACCAATTTCACTGTGAATATCTTTTTCTTTTTAAATCAATTTCCCTGTGAATATCAAATATAAGCCAAATGGCCATTTTTTCCTAAAATTTAAGCCAAATTCACTATGAATATCAAATCTAAATTAATAGAAACATTTACAAAGAAACAGGTACTGCAGTAAAAGTCTTATTATAGCCCTTGGAAAAGAACAAAGGAAAATTCATAGGACTTCTAATTCGAGTCAACCAACTAACAACATGAAAGGAACTGCTTGTTTGCCTCTTCTGCAAGGGGTATAATATTTGATATTTCATCAAAACAGAAAACTTGAACAATAGGCTAAAATCGTGAAAAATCACATGAAGGGTGACTTCAAGGCTTCAACAGCATTCACATAGTCGAAATGAGGGAAAACAGAAAATTGTTATGGCCAATTTCATGGATATTTCATTCAGTCTTAATCAACAATCATTACAAGCACATACCACCATCACTTACCTCTAACCATGAGTTATTATCTTGAAGTTCACTAACAGTGTCTAGCTGACATTCATTTCTGCAGACAATGCCATTCAAAGGAAAAAAAATAAAGAAAAAAAAATCAGAAGAAAGAAACAAAAAACGCTATTTGTAAGCCAGTAAGAGCATAAGCAGATTGCAGTCCTTACTGGCTTAAAGCAGATTGCACGAGCGGTGAGTCACACATCTTGTAATCATGCGGTTTGGCTTTTACCAAATAAAGAAGACACTGGAAGTCCCAAAGTAGCTTAGCTTCTATATCACCCCCATATGCAAACAAGCTTCATAAATTCTGCAGATCCAATTCAAACATCAAAAGCCTGTTTTTTTTCAATGATTTCAAATTTGGGTAACTTAAGATAGATTTTGTCATCAATAATCTGATGGAAGAATGAGCTGTTTTTGGACAGAGTACTGTGTGGCTTGTGAAGAAGTAAAGGACAGATGAAGTCGATGAATGCACAGCTACCAATCATTTTCAACACAACCATACATATCTAAATAAACTCACCCTGATACATTTGTTATAAAATCACATACAACCAACAAATACACGAGTTGAAATTATTTCAGAAAGGGAATTTGTAGAAAACAAAATATCTTTGAAACCACTAGAGAAAAATGAAACACTTTTCCATGTCATGGAAATCAGAGCTAAAGTATGAGGGTATAATTAACAAAAAGGAGAGGGAATGAGCAGATGAAAAGAATATGCAATTATAATAACAAAAGAATAAAGAAAGTGGGGTTATCCCCCTGCTAATTACGGAACACAAAAGTCGCTTCCATGATGACAAAAAAAAACAATGGGGGAAACTTGACATACCCTTCAAAAGTTAATCAACGTTGATTTAAAAGCAGAGAAGATGGTTGCTTTTCTTCCCCTTTCATACCCATTGAAAATGAAGAAAAAGTGTAATGGTGAAAGTGGATTGATTGATGGAATTAAAAGTGAGATCAAAGTTGAGATTTCAAAAGTAGTGGGGCAAACAGAAAATCAAAAAGGAAAAAGGAAATCAAGGGTTTTCCAGTTTCCACTGGGTAAAAACATTCCAAGCCACAATAAAACGATGAAACAAATTGAGTCAAAGAAAATTAAAATGTAAAAGAAGAACAATCCAAGGGACAGATCTTAATGGTCCCCTTTTAAAATGCCACACCAATACAACTCACAGGCTGACCCCATTAACCATAATGAGTTCCCTTTTACTGCATGCATCTTTCTCAACCTCACAAAATAAAAACAGATGAAAAAGAACAACATCAACCCAATTTCACACTTTCAAATAAAAAAAAGAATGAGAAAAAAAATCACTAAAAAAGAGAACTTTGACAAAGAACCTGAACGATCCCTGCTTTATTGAATCTTGACACTTCAACAAAAAGAAATAGCACCCAAATCCGACTTGAAAATGGTTCTCGGTTTCCTCTACTTCTTCAGTTCTGTATCTCAAACAAAGAAAAATGCATTTGTTTGTTAACTGGGTGCTTATCTTCCCTCAATTTTAAGTTCTTAACTTGAAATTCAAATGAATGGGAAGTGGGGGTGGACAAATGAAATGACAAAGATACGGTTCAGCTTCAGCTAACCCAAAGACTTGGTTAAGAGGGATTCCAAACAGAGTAAAAACAAAAGTAAAACGAATCTTGGAACAGCTTCCAAAACTTTTTTTTTTTTTTTGAAAATCCAAAACATTATAATGCAGAGAATATGTTATTATTTGTCTTCTGAGTTTTGACCAACTCAATACGTATTATATTTGAAATAAAATTTAGGGTAAACTATAGCAGTTACCATCCAACTATAACTACTTTTTATTTTGACTACTATTTTTGAATTGTTTTCAATCAAATCACCAAACTATTTAACTTCATTCAATCAGGCTACTTGACGTTAACATTTAATGGAAATATCGATTTAAATTCATTCAATCAGACCACTTTCTGTTAACATTTAACCGAAGTGTTGATGTTTGCAATTAACAAAATTGGTATAATTACACATTTAGTCATCATTACTTACATATTCTATCAAATTAATCATAATTTTAAATTTATTCAATATATTTAATTTTCTAATCAAATAGTGACACATGTCAACATCTTATTAAAGGTTATTTATATCATTTTGGATGGAAAATAAATAATAGAGAAATATTATTCTCTTGCGCTTTGGGTGGGACTCAACACAAGTTGCCTGTTATGCCATGGGCGACTTACCACTTCGCCAAGATCATCATTTGTGCTCTATGATATTATATATATTTTATAATTTTATCAATACCAGGAAAAAAGAGAAAGAAAATGGCTTTACATTGGATATTATATTTGGATCAGCTCAAGTACTGATTATTGGCATGTTGTCTGAATATAGGTTCCTCCTGAATTAGATATATTGAACATAGAAGATGTTGGCAGTGTTGCGTATGCCAAGAAGGTTGCAGTAGAGGATAGTTAGCACTCAGGTTGGTTAGCAGGCTGATATAGTTGGTTGTAACAACGTCAGGCAGTTAGTTGGTTGCAGCTTGAGTGTGATGTATATAAAGCAAGAACTACATCTTGTAAACTCAGATTTATCAATTTCATTCAAGTATTTTTTACAGCAGTTTACAATCTTTAGTAATAGTTCAACATGGTATCATTCGCCAGAGATCTTGGCTTCTAAGTTCCAACTGCGGTAATGGCGCTTGACAGTCTGAATGTCTCCTCAATGTCCGGAGGAGGTTCATTGGTGTGCTCGCTTGTGTTCACTAACAAGAAAGTGAACGTTGTCTTGGATGAGATGAACTTCTTGCTGTGGAAACAACAAGTGTTGCTCACAGTTCGAAGCCATCGCTTGGAAATGATGTTGACTGGCTCGATGGTAGCACCACCAGAGACTGTGGTCGACCAGAATGGTGAGGTCATTCTCAATGAAGCATTTGAAGACTTCATGGCCCAAGACAGTGCTCTCGCGTCTTGGTTATTGTCCATCATTAGTCCACAATTGCTGCCTCAATTCATTAGTGCTGAGACAACAGCTGCCGTATGGAATAAAGTCACGCAATTCTTCGCTAATCGCTCCACCACAGCAATAATGAATCTGCTATACAAGCTTCAATCTCTCAAGAAAGGAGATGATAGCATGTGTGTATGTCTCACATGTGTTAAAGAAGTGTGCGATGCGCTGGAATCTTATGGAAGCCCTGTTGCACCAGTCGAGCAGATTGTAAGTGTACTAAAAGGACTACCTCGTGAATATCAGTCCATTATGGCGGTTATAACCATCATGCATGAGAAACCTACTTTCATTGTTGTTAGTAACATGTTAATTGATGCTGAAACTCAGTTGGCTGGATTTGAGTTTTCAGCAGACAGCCTTCCGATGAGTGCACATGTGGCACAGGCTGCAAATCGGTTTGTTCCAAGAACCAACCAAGAGGGTATTCACAAACCTAACTCGGGTGATCGATCAGGTGGTCGCGGTCGAGGTCGTCCCCGAGTGCAGTGTCAACTATGTGGTAAGACTGGGCACTTAGTTCAATAGTGTTGGTACCGATTTGATTGCGATTTTCTTGGTGATGGCAGTGATGCACAACGATATAAAGCCAACCTAGCAGTGTTAATTTTGTTGACAGCACGCAATATGACTCCTACAGTGAAGGAAGAGCCACTGAGCCCCCTCAAGCTAATGCAACATCTTCCTCTCGTGAGCATTGGGTAGTCGATTCAGGTGCCACGCACCATGTGACACCAGATGTTACCAAACTAGCTCAACCATCTGACTATAGGGGACCAGGTAATCTTCTTGTTGGTAATGGTGTCTCCTTTCATGTTGAAACCGTTGGTAACACTTTACTCTTTTCCCGGTCTCAAGCACTAAAGTTAACTAATATCTTACATGTGCCTGATATAACTAAAAATCTACTTTCGGTGTCCAAGCTTGCTAGGGACAACCAAGTCTTTCTTGAATTTCATGCCAACGATTGTTGTGTTCGGGATGAAGTCACTGGCAGTGTTCTACTTTGAGGAAAACAGAACAGGGGCCTTTACACATTTGAGCTCGCTGATGGAAGGCATCCGATTAATAACCAAGCTAGTGCTAGCTTAGCTACTACCTCTGAGACGTTTGATTTGTGGCACAAACGCTTGGGGCATCCCTCTCTTCAAACACTAAAAGATGTTTGTAATAAGCTACATGTAAAAATTTCAACTAATACTAATAAAGTTTGCTCGGCTTGTTGTATTGGAAAAAGTCATAAACTGCCGTTTGAACACTCGCAGACTGTATATTCTGAACCCTTTCAACTTGTATTTTCTGATTTGTGGGGTTCTGCACCTACTCTTCAAATGGCTTTCGATATTACGTTGCCTTTGTAGATGCATGCACTCATCATTCTTGGCTCTACTTGCTAAAAGATAAATCTCAACTTCTAACTTCGTTCCAGCTGTTTAGGAGTATGGTGGCTACGCAGTTTAACCTCTATGTTAAAGCCATACAAAGCGACTGGGGTGGTGAGTACAGACCCCTGAACACTCTTCTGGCCAAAGAGGGGATTATGCATCGAGTAACATGCCCATATACCTCTGAGCAGAATAGGGTTGTGGAGCAGAAACATCAATATTTGATCGAGCTCGCCCTTGTTCTCCTTGCTCAGGCTGCTTTGCCGTTGAAGTTTTGGTTTTATGCTGTGACCACGGCAGTCTATCACATTAATAGACTCCCCACTTGAGAATTGCAAGGTGTTTCACCGTTTGAAAGATTGTTTAACATGCAACCTGATTATAGTTTTATGAAGGTATTTGGATGCAAGTGTTTTCCACATCTCAGGTTTTTTCAAAAGCACAAGTTCATGTTTCGTTCCCAGTAGTGTACCTTCCTAGGGTACAGTCCTCAGCATAAAGGATACCAATGCCTGGCAGCAGATGGGCGAGTTTACATATATCGCCATGTTAAGTTTGATGAACTAACATTTCCTTTTGCAGAGTTGCAGTGCTCTCGTGATTTAGCCAAGAAGAATTTGCCTGCTTTAGATATATTTATGCAACCACGACAGTTACATGTTCCTATGGCTTCCTCACATACAAATACCTATCATGGGCTTACATTGACCCTCCCTGCCTCTCGTACTCTCATCGTACCTACTGGATCAAATCTACAATCGGTTGAAAACCAGCATGCTTCTCCTTTGCAAGCATCGACGTTTCCTTCTACAACCTTGACTCCTGATGAAGAAATGTGTCATGAGTCTCATACACTTGAACAATTTATAGCTGAGCCGACCGTACCTGAACAACATGTAGCTGAGCCGACTGTGGTGTCACAATCGAAAGCAACAGCCAATACGCATCCGATGTGCACACGCAGTAAGAATGGTATTTTCAAGACCAAAGCTCTCCTCAGTAATCTTGATGAGAACATCCCAGCAACTGTTTATGAAGCTCTTCGATCTGAGAAATGGTCTGCAGCTGTCCATGATGAGTTTAAAGCTCTACCGCAAAATGGTACCTGGACTCTGGTTTAACTCCCAGCAGAAAGGTCGGCTGTGGGGTGTAAATGGCTCTTCAAAGTCAAACAGAATGATGATGGTACTGTACAAAAACACAAAGCACATTTAGTTACGAAGGGGTATTCACAGGTACCAGGATAAGATTTTCAAGAGACGTTTAGCCCTGTGGTTTGATACTCTACGATCAATATCATCCTTTCACTGGATGTCTCGAAGAATTGGCCACTTCGCCAATTCGATGTTAACAATGCTTTCCTCAATGGTGGGCTGATTGAGGACGTGTTTATGACGCAACCACCTGGATTTGAGGTGTACAATCCTGATGGCACGCCCCTTGTCTGCAAGCTACAGAAGGCGCTCTATGGTTTACGACAAGCACTGGCACAACAAGCTTCGAGACAGTCTGTTTGCTCTGGGATTTCGAGGGTCTAAAGCTGACAGCTCTTTGTTTGTTTCCGATCAGGCTGACACTCGTACGTTTATCCTTGTATATGTTGATGATATCATACTGACTGGAGAATCACTCAATCATATTGAATATGTGATTCGTGA